GCTGTTGACACTGGCCTGTGCCTGTGGTGCACAGTGACAAAGAATTATTAAACACTTCATAAAGTGTTTAATAAAAGGTAAATTCTAGACTGAGAGTGAAGAGTGGGATTGATGGGCACTCCACTGTATTTATCCTTTATGATGATGGACAATCCCTTGGTTCACTCGCCTAGTTGTAATTTGCAGGGTCCACTAACTGTATTTAAGGGATGGGTAGTTGCCAATGTCTTCACGCTACATTGAGGTCAATAAACCCTGATTGGCTTGATGTGGGTCTGGGCATCTTATTGCAGGCCCATGTCAGTAGTGCTTAGTCAACATCCCCAACTTTCACAGGTTTGATAAGATCTCAGGTTTGTAAATTAACCTACTTATATCTATAACTGGACACTTGGGTAGATTAATGCTTTTGGTCCTTCCCTGTGGAAGGCAGAAGAGAGAAAAGGCTTCTGTCATTCACTTTAAGTTCATCTCTTTCTTGGAACATGTGAGGGTCACAAGGTTTGAAACCTTGTTTTTCCTCTTGGCAGGTAGGGGAATGAGGCAATGACAAGTCTTTTTTTGCATGTAATGGAGCAGGAAAACTCTACCCAACTAAATATATAAATATGATGGTAAATCCTGCAAAAAAAGAAGTCATTTGGGTCAGAACTTGGATGCCCCATTTGCTTCTGGGTTTCAGGAAAGCAGTAATTAATCTTTAGAAGTGCTAATTAGAAGTATAGACTGTGCCCTAATGCTCAGAAGCTTTTTAGCATAAAGTGTTATTGTAAGCAGTGCTGATTTTGTGCAGTCAAAATGTTGATGTTTCATTAGGCTATGCTGAAAATTACCTGTATCCTGGAAGGACTGATAGTCACCAAATGAAATGCTTAATTAAAACTTAAGTTTTGCTGCAGCAGTTAATTCGAAGCAACTTTGTTCTGCAGTTCTGAAAGAAGGCAGACAGCTTACGTACGAGAAGGTTGACCTGACCAACATTAGGGCTATGCTGAACAGTAATGATGTCAGTGAATACCTTAAGATCTCCCCGCATGGATTAGAGGTAGGATGACGTTTCATTGTAATAACCTTTTTTTAAAAAAAGGCGACGACGTGATTTAACTATTTCTGGCTGCTACGTGTTCCTGTATTTCCTTAGAATTAATCAAAGCTTTTTTGCCAGCTTTGTGTGGGAAGTTGGCTTTGTCTGAAGGTTGTAGCACCACTCTACTAATCTCAGTTCTAAAATTGTTCACAATGAAGTAATATCTGTCTGCACCCTGTAATTTAAAAAAAAAAAAAAAAAAAAAAAGGGATGCATAAGAGTTACCTGGTGTTTGCTCCTTTTGACTAGGATTATTCACAAAATATACTTGCTATTGCTTCCCCTTTCTCCCTTGAAATTCTACAACAGTAGATATCTATTTTTTACCCTTCTCTTCCCCTTCAAGGTTACTCTCTTTCCCAACTCTTTGTCCCACTACTTCTAGATGCATTTGGATTATTACATTGAAATCCTTTCTCTCCTTTATATCTACCAGGAGTCTGTCATCTTGGTTGTCTTAGTCTTTAAATCTGTAACTTGATTCCCTCAGCTCTCCATTCTTTTGTATGGTTTAACGCTGAATATCTTCAGTCTTGCCTACTTAATGAACGCCAGCTTGTTAGATGTGACTATTTGGGCTATAAAGAGAGGTGATTTTTTTTTTTTTTAATTATTTACCTCCAGAATTGCACTGGTGTATTCCTAGAGGCAAGAAACGTGATGCAGGGGAGGAAGGGGCTTGTTTCCATGCTGGTTTGTAGCAGTGTAACTTTTTGCTCTGGTCGTGGTAGGCTCGATGCGATGCGTCGTCCTTTGAAAGTGTCCGGTGTACGTTCTGCGTCGATTCCGGAGTCTGGTACTACGAAGTCACAGTAATCACTTCAGGAGTGATGCAGATAGGATGGGCTACCAAAGACAGCAAGTTTCTCAACCATGTGAGTACATGTAATGGAACTGCACTATTCTACTTGTTGCAGCTAGTTTAAGTGCTGTCGTTCTGTGGCAAAAACTGAGCCTCATTTTTTTTCCTGCACCCTGGAGAGGTTTGTGGGTGTGTGTTTTGTTTTGGGGGGGTTTTTGTTAATTCAGTGGTACAGGGAAAGAACTGGATTGTCATTGCTATAGACAGGCATCGTTCACTAAACAATTGCCTAGACACTGGCAGTGACAGCTTTTGTTATATATATGCCACTGTCTGTTTAGGAAGCTACAGGGAAATATGTGACTTATTTCCCATGGCCTACTCTTTGGAAACTCTTTAGACTGTAGATAAGGGCAGTGGTTCCTGTCTGTGTTTTTAGTGAGCACTTGTTTCCTTCACAAAAACTGTTGGGTTATCACATAGTCACTCTCCTCTCTGTTCTGATAATACTGATAGTACTGATTCTGATAGTACTTCTGTCTGTCTTTGCAGCTTGCTTTGCTCCCACTCTCATGCAGTTTGTACCTTATTTTTGATTTCAACTACTCTTCCTACAAGTTTATTCTTCAAATTATGTATCTATCAGCAATAAAGCATCAAGTGCCATGTGGACACAAGCTATAGCTACAGTCAAAAAATAATCTCTTGTATTATCTGAGATGTCATTATGGCTCTTCGTTTTCTGCCTGGATATGTCATGGCAAAGTGTACTCATATGAGGTGATAAACCATTAAGATCTGTGATTCTCTGTTGCTAGTTAGGGTTGATTTGCACATAAGAAGCCAAGATTTCAGTGTCCACTAAGTTGATGTGAGTGGAAATGTAAGTCTGAGTGGTTTTTTTATTGTTTTTACATTGCTCAGTACTCCAGTGCAAAGGCCAGCAAATACCACAAAGCAGGGGACAGTGAAGACTGAATTTCAGTTTCAAAAATACGTGTGCAGAAATAAAACAATGTTTGGCATAGTGTCTCTTACATGTACACACAAACTTTTAAAGATTTATAGCTGAACCTCTGCATGTGTGTGCCTGGGGTTTGGCTTAGAAAGGGCTTTCCATATCAGCAGCCTTCCAAGCTCAGCCAGCCTGAAGTTCAGGACTGTAGAGGGTAGCAAAGGGCATGTATGGCCTAAGCCTATATTTCCAAATGGAAATATAGAGCTGGGATTTTAGGTTGATGTTTTAGCTGGCTGAGCTGTAGGAAGAAATCCACTTTGAGCTGTTGGGGAATTTCATGTTGCTGCTTACAGCTTAATACAGAAGCAAGATTATCCCCCCTTCTTCCTTTAAATGTAGAGAAAAGCAGTTACAGCTGCTTGTTTCGGATTGATAGAGAAAATAATTCTACAGCTTGCTCAAATGCAGAACCAAGGGTGAAGATAGGCCAGTTACTGGCATACAAGTAAGTATATGTGATGGTGGGGGGTTCAAGAGAAAAATGCTAGGGAGAGGAGGAAGCATCAGTCACAAGAAATGAGAGCAGAATGGGAGAGCAGACTTCCTTGCATCTAACTTGTGTCCTGCGAGTCCTTAAATCTTCCTTCTTGCTCAGTTACTTGCCTACACTCATGTAAATGGCATCCTCTGCTGGTGTGTAACACGTGCAGCTCCCTGTATCATTTCTGAAGTCTGATCTCGCATCTCTACCATGAAATTACAAATACAACTTCAAAAAAGAACACAAAAGCCTAGAGATGTGCCCCAAACACAGGCATTGCTCATGCTGGCTGTTGCAGAGACTGCTTGAAATAAGTGGCAGTTGTGTCTGCTGTTACACTCTAAGAGGTTTAAAAGATTTTTGCCACTTAATGTTAAGGCACATATGTTTGTGCTTCCCATACGTGGTAGGAAAATGGGAGATGTCACATCTGAGCCGTGTGATTCCCATGTTCCTGCAGTGTTTCTCTAGGTGGGTAGGTACTGCTGGTATCTCTGTTCCTAAGGTTTCCACCAGAAATAGCAGGTGGCCTTTGCCACTCGATATGGCATTCATCAGAGTAATTGTCTTTTTGCAACATGTGCAACAAAAAGACAATAGTTACAAGTATAACACTGTACACTCATTAGCTGGACTCAGTTTTAATTTAGGACATCCAAGCATGGTCTGACCCTGATTAGTGTTTGTGCTACAAACCAACCATAATGAGCACAGGGAAGCATCTTAATGCTTTAGGGCTCCCCTGCATGATGGGAGTTCTTCCACTCTGAAATTTTGAATTTTGTGGTTTTGTTTGTTTTTGTTTGAGACCTTTGGACCACTGCTTGGAACCCTCTTACAAACTGAGGGACTCATGCACAAATTTAGTGAGGAGCCTGTGGGGCTATTTCCTGCTTGCGTGCTGTGTGTTTTGGTGACACTTAGATAACTTGGAGGGAAAAGATACTGCAAGCTTGCTGCTGGGACTTCAAGATAAGAGAGTAGTTACACTTCCTCTGTTGTCTTTAAGCTTCAAAACATTAACACTGCTATTTAGGTACAAGAGTTGAGATTAAGTGTAGGATCAAATTTAGTAGAGGGAAGTGATTAGCTCTTGCAGAAAATGAAAACCACTTTGGAGATGACATTCCCTTTTCCCCTTCTTGCTCCCACCGTGTTTTCACTTGAAAATGAAATGAAGCCTAGTTTGAAAAAGAACCATAAAGGGCAGAGGAAAATGCTGCCTGCTCTTGGATGGATGATTTAGTTGAATAAAAATAGCCTTTAGCCTTCCTGTGTGGCTGCAGACTGAAATGCTTCACCCTTTTCTCCTCCTAAAGGAAGGTTATGGCATCGGGGATGACGAATACTCCTGTGCGTACGATGGCTGCCGGCAGCTCATCTGGTATAATGCCAGAAGTAAACCACATTCCCACCCTTGTTGGAAAGAAGGTAATTTGGTCCATTTCTAGCGCTTGTTTTCTGCACTGCATTTTCCTCTTGCTGGCATCCAGAACACTTAGTTTGTTGGTAGGTGCAGACCTACAGACATCTGAAAAACTGTGTTGAGATGTTCCGTGCTGGGTCTGCCTTAAGCTGAAATAGCTATTTTAGGAGAGGAGAAAAACTTGTCTAGTTTACAGGTCACAGTTGAAGGCAGTGGCACTGCGTGTCTTGCTTTAAAATCTTGGATAAGTAGTTGGGCTTGATGTCAGGTTTGAAATCTTGGTGGGAGTATATGGGTATGCAGTGCTTGTGTGACCTGTACCACCTTCCCTTCTAATAAAAACCTCTCCAAGTGTAGCTAAACTAACATTTTTTAAGAGCGGTGGAGACATTATGTACAAGGATGTTAGAAACTTCTTAAACTTTAGAAAATGCATGTTGTGAAGATACCTGCAATAGGTGTGAAATAAGGAGGGAGGCAAAGGGAGAAAGTTGTCTCTGGCTTTGGATAGTGCTCTGCAGTACATTCATGTGTATGTGGTATTCATGTTGTGGCAACCTAAAATATTTTTTTGATTATTTTTCCTGACTTTTTTTTTCCTAATTACTACCTTTCCCACTGCTTTTCTATGCTTTTTCAAAAAGTTCCTTCTTAGTGAGACAACTCATAGTGAGATACGCAGCTCCTTATAAATAGCTGAAAGTTGTGCTTTTTCTAACACTGCTGAAATCTTTAAATTACCTTTTGTTTTGCACATAAGGAGACACGATAGGATTTCTCCTAGACTTGCAAGAAAAGCAAATGATCTTCTATTCAAATGGAAACCAGCTTCGTGCTGAGAAACAAGTATTCTCATCTGCTGTGTAAGTATGTGCTCATTTGTACCCTGTCTGGCTAATAGCTCTGATTGTATGGAAATGTTTGCTTGCCATAAATACTGTCACTAAACAGCCTTCCTGTTCACAGTTGCCTAGAAATGGGCAATTAGGATGTCATTTTGTGAGCAGATTCCAGGGCCCAGGGAGCTTCCAGAGGTAAATTCAAAAGGTGCTTCCTAGCACCAGAGCAGGACTCCACCAAAACAGACTGAGGTTGAAGCAGAGATGAACAAATTCTTAGTGCTTGAGGATAACTAGCATTACGGTGCTGATAGCTTCGTTCACGTTTTTGAGATTTTACAATTACATTTACATGCCTAACAGATTCTGTTACCCCATGGGTACTTAACTCTGCATGTTCTGCAGCTTGGCTCTTCCCTAAGTAACACGGAAAGAGAAGTGTCCGTATGGCTGGGAAGGAGGCAGCTGCCGTGAGCTAATCCCCTCCGAGCACCGGGAAGCAGATGGCCCCTGTCCGAACAGAGCTCCCAGGCCTCACGTCATCTCGTGCAGGTTGCCCACAACACGTGTGCTCCAGATTTGCTGCACGTTCCCCAAATTTGTGCCCAGTCAAATGAAAGAGCAGGAGCACTGGGCATGTAAGTGTTCCTAGGAGTTGACAGTGCTCCTCAAAACTCCATTAAACAGCAATTATTTGGAAGACAGACTTTGTTTTTGTTCAATTCCCGTGCTGGAGAGAGCTGAGCTGATCACTATAAGGAGGATCCATTTGTGGGGTCTTCAGATGTATGTATTTGCCGTTAGGGTACATGTGACTAATCCTAGTTGTAGAGTATGTAAACTTTCCGTGATTGATTCGGGAGTAAATTCAGATAATTTCTGATAGTAAATTCAGAAGTTGAGCACTAAACAAAGAATGGATGTACCACTGAAACTGGAGGTGTTGGTGCTTTTCTCCCAGTTACCTAAAAGAAGGTTGTCCTTCTGTTTCAGGGCATATTTTGATCTGCTAATGGCAGTGCTATGTCTGAAAAAAGCTCTTACTGCTTTAAGTTATCTTAAAATGTTTATTTTTTTCTTCATCGTGCAGATCTGGCTTTTTTGCTGCAGCTAGTTTCATGTCCTATCAACAATGTGAATTCAACTTTGGGTCAAAACCTTTCAAGTACCCACCACCAATCAAATTTAGCACCTTTAATGATTACGCCTTTCTGACAGCAGAAGAGAAAATCATTTTGCCCAGGTAATCCTTCTGTGTGCTCTGAGTGTGTTGGCTTGTTAGAGGAGCAGTGCACTTTGTTTACTGGCTGTGTAGTCTTTAAGTTGTACTTGGCAGAGTTACTGTTGATGGCATCGTTCCTCCATGTTCAGAAAAGGATTGGACCATAGACCCTGGTACCACATAGCCAGGTAGGACAGGAGATAGAGGGCTAAACTCCATTAAACCAAAATTATTGCCTGCAATGTTAAAATAAATTGACTGATGTTGTGACAGTAAAAATGCTTGTAATAAGCCTTGTAAGAATATTAAGTTGGTCAAGGAGGAATCATTTTAATTAAATAGTGTCTGTGTTCAAAGTTGGCTTAATTCGTCATGCAGTTTTGATGCTGGCAAAGCAGAGGCACAGAGTGATTGTAAAACTCGAAACTTTTCTAAAACTGCTCGTGGGTCTACTGGATTGCACATTGGCAGAGCTTGAGGTGTATGATGCTGAACATAATACAACATGAAAAATCAAATCCAACACACAGGCAGTTCTGCAGTTCTTTATAAGCACGGGGATTTACATCTGCTTGTAACTGAAGGTGCTATGAGTGAGGGCTTTTCTTTGCACTGAAAACCTCACTTAACTAGCTCATCATCTTAAAGGATTATCATCTTTGGTCAACCCGTTGCTCAAAGTGTTCTTCTGTCTTAGTTTCAGGCTGCTGAGGAGCTGAGGGGTCTTTAGCCATGTGCTAAAAGAGCTGATCAGATGTGATTGGTATTGATCTCCCTCTGGCCCTAAACTTCCTGCATTTAAGCGGTAGCTGTGAGAGCTCCTCTCTGCACCAAAAGCTGCAGAGAAACCTGAAAAAATTGGCTTCCTGCTGCTGACTGACTAGAGGAATTTTGTCCTCCTGGGTTGGAGTCTATGTAATATGCGATAACACTGAAAGAGTCCATTCAAAGCAGGATACTGTTGCTCTATGGGTATGCAAAGATTACCCCTGCCCGTTCAATCCAAACTGAAACTAGAAACTAAATTAAAAGAAAAATGGATCTTAATTACCCATTGCAAGAGGTACTATAGGTTTCTGTAGAGTGGTGCTGAATATAACATGGTTAGTGTCAAGACACTGCCTGGCCTAGACCATTCAACCCACCACTGAACATTTTAGCATATTTGTTTCATATTTGAAACATGATATTGCTATGATTTTTACCCGTTTACTCTCCTGTTACCTTCTGATCAGAAATATCACATGGTCCATCTCTTCCTTGGAACTCATTTGACTAAAAACAATATTCTTCATGATACAAACTATTATCAACCAGGAAATCAAAGATGGTTCTGAACATCTTTGCATGTTTTAAGCTTTATTATTATTTGTGAGATATTTTAAATTGATGTTTACCAATGCTCGTGCTGACTGGCAGAAACGAGTGCTGCGCTGGTCTAATGCAGTGCTCTACAGATGTGCAAATCTCTAGTTTTGAGTGTGATGTAAAAGTAGGGGTGGTCTCCTTGTTTCTCTTCAGACACCGACGCCTGGCTTTGCTCAAGCAAGTGAGTATCCGAGAGAACTGCTGCACACTTTGCTGTGATGAGATAGCAGACACAGAACTCAGGCCGTGTGGACACAGGTAAGCTTAAAATAAATGATAATAAAAATAGAGACAGAATATGCTTGTTTAAGCATTGAGCTGAAGCAAGATCAGATATAGCCCTTGCTTATTTTGAGTGACTGCAGCCTATGGAAAATGCTCCATCCTTTTAAGGATGTGAAAAGTACAGGCTAGATGTAGTAGTTCCATCATTCCCCCCACATCACCCTGAGCAGATTTTAAGCTCTAGGCATGTTTCAGTGTTTGGGGGACAGGAGACATGGAGAGGAAAGAGTATTGTGGCAAAGTACACGTGCTGTCCCTGGGCTTCTGGGACTAATTCCTTGGTCTCCAAGGTGTTGCTGGTGAATGCTGACTTGGTAGTTGTGCTGTAAAATCCAGAACACGTGAGAACAACAACAAAAAAAGTTCAAATGATATTCAATAAATGGGTTTTCTCAAGATTTCTCTGAGAAGCAGGAAGCTGACACCAACAGAAGTGCTATCATGGTACACCTCTCTGCACCGAAGCAGCCTACTAGGAAATTAAGTCAATTCCAGTAGTGTTTTTAATAGTGCTAACAGAAGCAGGCTGAATAAATTGTTTAGTACTTGCACTTTTTAATTTAATCTCTATTTTAAGATCAGGCTTTAACTGTGCTTTTTCTCCCTTCTCATTCAGTGACCTGTGCATGGGGTGTGCCTTGCAGCTGGAGACCTGCCCGTTGTGCCGACAGGAAATACAAACCAGAGTCAGACAGATCTCGCACATTTCATGACACACGTGGAGAAGTACCATGGACTTATTTTTAACAAACTCCATCTAATACTGAAGGGGGAAAAGCATCTCTTAACCAATCTTTACGCACATAGAACCATAGCCACGGCCAGGTTCCATGCTAAAGTGTAGTCTGTTTATCTTAAATTAAATCTTAATAGGCAATTTCAAGTTGCCAGCAAGAGGAGTTGGTTTCGACGGTAACAACAGCTGGTAGTTCAGCGACTTATGGCTGTTGGTTATCTCCAAGCAAGACCACGGGAGAGTGTCTCTTCCCCCTTTCCTTCTCGCCTGTCGCAAGTGCTGAAAAGAATTTGCACTGGAAGTACACATACAAAAAAGAAAAGAAATATGTGCTAGAACAGGGCCATGCTGTCTTGTACTGGATAGTCTCTATTTTTGGCAGAAGTCGGTATACTAGAAAAGAAAGCCCATGTTTCTTGTTTTATGTAGCCTCCTGCTGGTCAGAGACTCTGTATTTTCAGACAGTGGGTCTTAAACTGCTCGACTACTTCATCTTACACAGACTGTTTTGAAAAGACAGTGTGGAGACTGGAGAAATTCACTTTTTTTTTTTAAATTGTTGATTCCAAAGAATGTTTTGATTTGTTTCTAAATGTTTAAAGATCGACGTTATTTTCAAGTGCATAATGTTTCTGATGCTTTTAACTTCAGTACCCACATTATTTTTCAGTGAGGATATAATTTTCAGGAGGTATTCTTAACCAATTGGAATGCTGGACTGGAATTAATTTGATATTCTGGGTCTTTTTTTAAGGTATCATCAATCATCCTTTTTTTAATCAGTATTGTTTTTGAAAGTTATGTTCACTTTGAAAATATTGAGCTATCTTAAAAGAGTAAAGAATTCTCATCCAGTTTATTTAAAATGAGAGGGGAGGGGGGAAAAAGTTACTGGATAGCAATTTCAGGCCTCTCCTGTAACTCCTAAAATAGGCACCTTGCTTGCCATATGTCTGTCCTGCTCTGAGCAGGTTTGGGGCCACAGTTTGTGTTTTGGTAAGGATCACTTAGTGGGAATCTCTGGTCCACTCTAATGAGACATTTGTGACATTTGTATGTTAAAGCTGTGTTCAGCGGGCAGCAAAAAAAGGCAGCTTTTTACTGTTTCACTAGGTTTCTACAAGGAATCAGGTTCACATCTGGTGTCAATTATAGAAGTAGTGTGAAAGTCAGTGGAGTGATGTTTGTTTTGCACCAACTGAGGATATGATTTGGTCTCTTCCAAGATTCGTACAGGTTTTTTGTTTTGTTTTTTAAAGTATCTGGTACATAGTAGATCTCTGCTACTTCACACACAGTGTGCACCAAAAACGTCCCACCTCTTTGCTGTTGAATCACTGCTGAGACCAACGTAGTGAATTCCCATGTTGTGACTTTTTTTTATTGTCTTTATTGTACTGGTAAAGTATCTCTTCAACCAAGGAAAGCTGAGAGCAGACTGTTCCCCCTGACTGACGGGGGTGTGAAGAGCACTGTGCCCAGGTCCTAGGATCGAGCCCCTCAGCAGCCATTTTCCAGTCTTGCCTTTGCTAACTGACGGGTGCTTAATTTTGTCAAGAATAAAATAAATCCCCAGGGAACCTCTGAAGGAACCTGTGTGAACTAGGGAAGTTCTGTAAATCATTTTCATGGTGACTTTTTTTTTTTTCCAAACACAGACTGAATCAAAAACGGTGTTGTGTTTTATTTTTTTAGCTCAATTTAGAATTCTCCTCCTGCTTGGGTGCCTGCCCTGAGTAAAGGCTGGCCCAATCCATGCCCCTAAGGCTTTAATTTCCACCTTGACTCTGTTTTATTGTATTTTTGGTTTATCTTCCTTAGACCCCTTTGCCAAGGTGCTGCATTTTGGATTCCTTTAAAACCAACTTTTTAATGCTATTGGAGGCCCTAGTAGCTTTTATCCCCAAGCAGCAAAAGGGGCAAAGACACCAGCCAGTCACTAGGGAAGAAGTGTAATGGAGCAATTTGGTAATCTGCCTTAAAACTAATTACTTCAGGGCTTGCTCCTTCCCTTGGCCAAGACTGAGGTAAAAATTCCCTGCAGTGCCAGAGGCTCCTGGTTCCTATAACCTGTCGGATAAGGTTAAGCTTCCCCCGGACCCTGACGGGCAGGAGCCTCTGCCCTCCCTCGGGGCCGACACTCAGTTCCTGCCGAGCTCGCCTGAGGCGAAGCCGCTAATGGCGGGGGGGCGCTTTTGCCGTGCGTCCGGAGGAACCACACGCTGTGTCTGTGTAAACGTATACATTTATTTTCATATGTTTATTTTTATGTCTCTTTTTATTGTCCTTTCTCCTCGGGCACTCTCTGCTGCGCCCTCCTCCCTGCCGAGCCGCGCGCTGCCGCCTCACGGCCCGCCCTGCCGCCCGCCCCGCTCGGCCGCTGGCGGCGGGGCCGGCGGTAGGTGCGGGAATGGGGCCGGATCCCTGGGCCCCTTTTCGAGGGAGGGGAGCGAGGGAGTGAAACGCACCGCACGTCTGGCTCCCTTCGAAGGAGAAGGATGGGGGGATGGCACCCGGGCGCCTGGGGCCCTGTTATTCGAGGGAGGTGGGAGCGAAGGCCGGACGCGTGGGCCCTTCTTGGGGAAGGGAACGATACGGCCCTATTGCTTGGATGGCAGAGGGGTGTTGGGGACGGGCTGGAGGGAGGCCCGGTGCTCGAGTCCTCTGGGGAGCGGGCACGAGCAGCCCCGGACCCGAGGTTGGGAGGGAGGAGGGGATGGTCTCCATCTTCCCGTGCTGGGTCGGGCTGCTGAAGTGGGGCCCCCCCCCCGGTCGGGTGCTCCAAAGGCGGCGTTTTAAATATATATGGTTACAAGGCTATTGCCCCGAGGCCGTCTCACTGGCACCATGAAGCCACCAGGGTGACTTCCTCCTCCTGTGTTGTCCCTTAGTATTTTGCCTTAATGTAATGTTTTTTCTCTTCTCTAGTCCATTAGGTTATGCTGTAAAAATGGAGGCTTCAGAGGAGGAGAACTTTGATGTCACCGTGTAAGTAGATTTTACCCTGTGTCAGGCTTTCAATAACTATTTCCTGGTGAAAATGTCTTATTGGGAATGTAATTACAAGAGTGGAGGTAGACCACACTGATTAATAGATACTGCTTCTGCGGAGAACCAGGACCCGGAACAAAGACCCGGGAGGGAGTAACTTCAGCTCAGAGTCTAGATGAAGTGAAGCTAAATAGAGCTGTAACACACATAGCACCACATAGCCCTTGCTAAATTCAAGAATTCTTTCTCCTTGCTGACACATTATAGATTTTAAGGTGAGAATAGCTTTGTGGGCTTGAACATGCTCCTTCTGCACATGAGTTGTTTTACAGGTGGTCTCCAACCACTTTTTTTTTTTTTTCTCTAAGACACTGCTTTCCCCCTCAGAGGCCAAATATATTTGCTCTCTTTTCTGGCCTGCCCTTTTAAAGCTTGTGGCCAAGGTGGCAGAGGGAGTGTGAGCCTGCGCATCTGTCCCTGCAGCTCTCGGGTAGTTTCTTGTGCCCTGTGGGCTGAAAGGCCACATGTGCCCTGGAGGTGCTTCTGCAGCCCAGGTTGCAGTGGCCTAGACCTGGTGAGGCAGCAAATGCCTTAAACTACCATGGAATTTGCCAGAGCCTGTTTGCACAGGTGTGTGTTGTACAGAGAGATGGGGTTGCTGCTATTTTAAAGCAATTATAGTTCTCTGTTTTGCAAGCTTTAACGCTGCAAGCTTTAACGCTGCAAGCTTTAACTATTGCTGTTAGAATAAGCTATAAAAACAAGAAGAATTTCTCCAATTTCTTGTTTTCAGTTGCTTGGTGGTGACTCTTATTAAAAATAAACAAAAAGCAGAAATTATCCAAGGCAAAATCTCCTGTCTTTGTATGCAAATAGCAAGTGATAAGCCCTGTTGCCTGAGGCATAAATACGATGCTCAGGATATGGGATGCTTCAGCTGTTGTGCGCGAGCTCCTTTTCTTGTGGCGTTCTGCCCTCTGGTGGGGTGGCCTTTCCTTTCACTGGTGTC